CAAGGAGGGGCTACAGGTCCTGTAACATCACATTCCCACACCCAAAAAACCCCTATCCCAAACACCCATTGGCGTCACACAGCATATGCTCTACTTTCTTATAGTCCATCTCTGTTCCTCATGCAGCACCGTGACTCTTGGGTTATGGACCTCGAGTCTACCTTCCGTTTTCTCCCCTTTCTCCCAGCCTCACCGCCTCACAAGCCTTTTTCACCACGAAGCCATGACACTTTTCCTTCCTGCAACCCTCTGTCCTTCCCATTTCAGCTTCATGGTTCTCCTTAGCACAGGAGAAGTCAGAACTAGTCCTTCAGACAACCCTGGGCAGGGCTTGGCAGGTGAAGATCAGGGATGTGAATTACCGGATGATTCTGCAAAGTCACAGCGACGAAGCTCTGCCGTCACAGAGAGTCACATGGAAACACGAGGTGAAGCCCTGAATGCACAATCAGGGCCACAGCTCAGGATCTGTCCGAAGGAGGTTCTCCTTGTGGAAGGAAAGAGAAATTTGTTTATGCATAAATAGCCACAAAAATAGCTGGAGGGAAGCACAGGGAAATGAGTGGGAAAGAAAACTGGAGTTTTTCTGGCAGAGCCCGTTTTGCTGCCAAAGAGTCCCTCTTCTGAGTAGGTAGCGAAGGCTGCACCAGCACCAGCTGCCTCTGGAGATCCTTTTCATTTAAACAAAGAGACTGTAACTATGGAGAGCACCCACCTTCCCTATAAAGCGTTGCAGGGTGGGAGGCATCCCTCCCCAGGCACACATTGTCCTACCCAGCATTCATATCCCAAAGGACCCAGAGAAAGATTGGAACCCAGTCACAGCCCTTTAAGGAGTTAACAAATCTTCCTCGGGGGGGGGAGACATATTTACAACCTAGCTCCTCACAAAAACGCCTTGGAAAAACAGATATGGCAACTGCTCAGCATCAGGTAGTGTCTTCATCAGGGCAAGTCCCCAGCTGCAGGGCAATGGGGACCATGTGGGGCAAATGCTGCTTCTCTCTTTCTGCAGTCAGGGTTTCTTGTTCCTTCCACCTGCTGAAATGGTCTTCAGCCATGGGGACCAGGCTCCGTGGGGGACAGAGGCGTTGGGAGAGGGTGAGAGGCTTTGTGGCTCCTACGGGCAGCGGGCATGAGGAGGATGGTTTCAACTGAACGCTCACCCAAACCAACTAACCTCAGTCTGCCCTGTGGCTCGGTACAGGATAACTCAGCACCTCCCTGGGTAAGTTCTTCCCATAGCATAAAACCATCCAAACTTGATGGAGGGTGCAAATCCAGCACCTTATTTCTGCTTTTAGAAATTGTGATTCGTGTTGGGGGAAAGTTGTCGGCTCAACAGCCTGGGCAGGGGGAGAGGCAAGGAGATGCGGTGCAGGGAGATGCGGTGCCGGCAGAGCAGAGCACCCTTCAAAAGCCAGAGCTTTGCCCAGATGTGCCATTGCCATGAGCCAAAGAGCTCCCTAGGGAGAGCTCAGCCCCTGGCTCACCCATTCCTCGGCCTTTCCAGCAGTTGACTCCAGCCAGCAGCAGCAGGGAAGACACTTATTACGTTAATAAATCCCATAATACTGAATAAAGCACTTTGTTTTATGGTTTTGCTATAAGAACTCACCCCTGGGTACTTATAATTAACTGAACTAGAAAAGAAATCAAGATTTGAATTTTTTTCCCACCAATTTTCTTTCTTTTTTTTTTTTTAAAAAAAAAAAGAAAAAAGAAAATTGCCACTGCTAATAAAAAACCCCTCTCCTTCTATTTACCTGCCCGGGTAGGAATATTGATCTCTGTGCAGAGAGAAGGCGCTTGCCTTATTGCAGATCTCCCTGGCTAATCCATCTTTCCCGGCTACAGAATATTGCTCTGGCTTTATTTTCGGAGCAGCTCAGTAATTCATTGTTCTCCATGGTCATGCCTGAGCTCGGAAGCCCTGGGAAGTGTGCGGGGAGCAAGCGGGAAGAGCTCATTTGAGCCTTACATCTGACTTCACCTCTAAGAGCAGGCAGCTGCCGGCATCCCTGCCCTGCCCACGCACGAGAACTGCATGTCAGGAGAGCCGGAGCAGCTGGGGAGGCTGGCAGGGGGCACGCAGCGCCCGCTCATCCCCGACCCCCCATTTTCTAGCATTTCTACATCTTCTGGTTCCAGGTTGCCTGCAGACAAAGTTGCCCGCATAAGAGAAGTCACCCACCGACCTGAATAAAAAGGGATGGGGTGCTCTGGTGTTATTGCCTGGGCTCAGCGGTGGTTTTGGCTGGAAAAACAAGCCTACGCGCAAAGATCCCGGCAGCGGCGGGGTTGGAACAACCCCCCTGATCCACGCAGCTAAGCCTTTCAGACTCCACATCATTCAAAGCACAGGAGTTTTTATTTTCCTTTATTAAAGCACACAAGTAGCCACCTAGGAAATTGTCATTTACACTGCAGTAATTGTAAAATCATACCAACACGACCATTTCAGAAGAGAAGTAAAGAGCCTGCGCTTCAGCCAGACAGCCGATCGCAAGCCGTTAACTCCATAGGCACAGTACAATAAAGCTTTTGCTTTCAGGTTTTTGTTGCTCTTCTTATAACAAACTCCACTGAGCATTGAACAGAATGCTCAAACACATTCATTGCAAGGGCCACAGAATTACCCAAAAGCTTAGTAAACGCACATTTATTGAGTACTTGATTATGTAAGATCGTTGCAGCATAGTCATTATAACAAAATCCTCATTAAAAAAATGCCAGACACCAGTGTATTTTTCAGAGGACATAAATCTACTCAAAAACCCAACCAAGAACTCCAAAGGGAGGGTGGCTGTTCCTTAGCCAGCCACTAACGAATGCTTTCCTGCTCCCTAATGGCACTGCAGGAAAAGCCCGGCGGTCGGTTCCCACCTTCATCTAAGCCGTACCCAGCGCCCCGTCAGACCGTACGGCAGCTGATGGGCTGAGAAGACTCAAGGTTACTCACTGACCATCGCATCCACAAACACAACAGCCCACCAAACTCCTTTTTTCAAGGGCATGGATGCAGCCTGCCAGCAGCACGGTTCTCGGGGGTTTCTTCTTCGCATGCTCGGGGGTTGTATGAGATTTCCTGGTGAGCGCTCGGGGATAAACATCCATTGCAAAGTGCTTGAAGTGCCCAGATTTCCTCCTCCCCCTGCGTTAGTCAGAGGAAGCGCTAATTGCAAAGTTTGCTCTGCTATCCCTCCAGTTTCCCAATCAAATGCTAATCAGCATGAAAATCCTCCCAGCTTGAGCAGTTTACAAGGGATCTGGGTCCTATACATGGGACACAGGAATTGCATCTATATTTTAAGCCCAACCATAAGGGAAACATTCTACATAGAAATATAACATTGGATTCTTTTATACAGCATATATAAAGAACATGACAGCATTAAAATGTTGGCAAATCAATACATTAAAAATACAGAATCTCATAGACCAGAGCACAAGAAATATATTCACATGAAATCTGTACAGTCCAGACAACGCTGCCGGTTCTCTCGTTGGAGCTGACCTCCCATCTCCATATGGAGGTGCTCACTTTGCTTCCCCATCAGCACCGCTGCCCAAATTTCCCCAGGGTTTTGTGTGACAGGGAGAACACAAATCTGCTGTCCCTGCCCGCACGGAGGGCACTCAGTGGTTAAACTCTTCGGGAATGCTTTCATTATCAAACAAAATGACAGTGCATTTCATCTTACAAAGCTCTGCCCCACCGGGAGAGGAAAATCAATGTATGGCTGGCAGGAGGGGTGGTACCTCAGCAGTATTTCCCAAGTGCTCTCAGCATCGCGGATCTCATTTCATTAAAAGAAAAAAAAAAAAAAGAAAAGAAAAAGAAAAAAGAACCCCAAGAAAAACCCACCACCATCTTTTATATGGTTTGTGCACCGCTTATCTCATGGGGAGCAGGTGGGACTGTTTTAGGCTGCCCCTCCTGCCAGAAATGTCCATGTTTTCCAGAGGGACTGCTGTTCTGACTTCTCCGAAATGGCTTTCCCCTATACATAAACACATGTATACATAGGCCACTTCATTCCTTCCTCCTCTCACTGAGGAAGAACCCCAAGGCATGCTTGGCAAGATGAAATCCTACGTTATAGCACTATAGAGATGTATATATACAGACACATTCTGTCCGCTATTACAATAGAAATAGTTGTTGGTTGTTTTGTTTTTTGTTTAAAAAAAAAAAACAGCAATAGCAGCATGTAAACAAGGATTTGTGTTCATGTCATCCGTCCTTTCCGCCTCCTCTTCTGAGCTACATTCATCAGTTTTGACAGTCCCTCTCACCCCTCTGCTCCCCTCTCGAGGTGGAGGGTTTTCCTGCAAACCCCGTCCACAGGAGCTGATATCGTCCTCCCCGGGCTCTCAGCTGCAGGGGCAGTTTGAGTTTCCCCTTCCCACCAGTTCCCTCTCCTCTCCCTCCCCGCATCCTTCCCTTCCCGATGACTCATCCTGGAGATGATCTTGGGTTTTTGTCTGACGGCTGCTGCCCGCTTTGGCTTCAGCAAAGTCTAATTTGAGAGCAATGCCGCAGGAATAAAACCTGCACATGAGCGCCTGGTGAGCCACAGGAGTTGTCAGTGCCTTAAACAACTCAGGGAGGGGGAAAAAAGAAATGGAATAGTTTGCATTTTGTCTGTCTCCCAGCAGCAAAAGTGCAAGTCCCAGGAGTAATGCCTGTTTTAAACCCTTAATTCCCAAATTCTCAATAATGTTGCAAACCGCCAGGGTTTCGCGGGAATCAAAGGGCTGATTTCAAACAGGTTCCTTAGTGCAGGGTGCACTGGAATTAAAAATGCATCAAATGGGCTCACTTTTTCCGCGCGCTCTCGCAGTATCCGGTTTTCCCAACCCCCAAAATTGTTTCCTCGGTTTATTCACCTCTCAGTTTTGAGGTCCTGCTAAAGAGCCGTTATCTGAGTCAACTCTGACGTGGGGGTGGTTGGACTCTGCTGGGCGACAGCCACCATGGGAATTTCCATGCCTAGTCAGGCCGGATTGTTAGTCCCCTCCGAGTTCTTGCAGGCATAGGCCACATCCTTGGCGATGCTGCACATCCTGTTGGACATCTGGAGCTCGGTCCTGAAGGCGGTGGGGAAGCAGAACTTCTTGAAGCACGCCTTGAAGTTCTCATCTAAGAAGGCGTAGAGCACGGGGTTGAGGCTGCTGTTGGCGTAGCCCAGTGCGGTGCAGAAGCAGGAGATGGCCAGCTCAAGCTCGCTTTCTGCCTTGGCACCCAAGCACTGGACCAGCACAAAAATCTGGATGGGAGTCCAGCAAATGATGAAGACTGCCACCACCACCAGGACCATTCGGGTGATGCGCCTCAGGTTTCGGTCCTTCTCCTTGGAGCCTGAGAGGACACGGACATTCTTGAGTCGTCTGATCATGAGACTGTAGCAAATGGTGATGATCAACACGGGGATCATAAAGGAGAAGAGAAAGACACAGATGCCAAATACCGGATCCCAGTAATCCACAGGTGAAGGGAGCTTAATTAGACAATCAATTTCTGCAAGTGAAAAAAAACAAAAAGGAAAGGAATATCAGCAAACCCATATCAAGAAGAAAAGCATCTGCATGCTCAGTTTAGGCATGTTTAATACTGGAAAAGCAGTAGCAGTGATGCAGATGTAAGGGCAGAAAGCAAAGACTTAAGACGGTTTTACAGCAGAGAGCTCACCACACTGCTGAGACTGGTACCCCTCTCCAATGGCTCCCCAAGCCCATGGGCTCTCCTGGCCACCAACACCTCCCACCCGTTGGATGTATTTTCACTGACCGTTGTTTTCATTCTCTGCAGATCCCATCACCATCGCTGGGATGCCAAAGACAGAAGCCAGCGCCCAGATGCAGACATTCACCACTTTGGCCTTGTGGGGAGTGCGGATGTCCAGTGCTTTGATAGGGTGGCAGATAGCAATGTAGCGGTCCACGCTCATCATCGTCAGGGTGAAGGTGCTTGTGAACATGTTGTAGTAGTCTATAGAGATGGCAATCTTGCAGAGGACGTTGCCAAAGGGCCAGAAGCCCAGGAACGTGTCTGTACCCTGGAAGGGTAAGGTCATCAGACACAAGGTGTCAGCCAGTGCGAGGTTAAAGATGTAAATGTTGGTTGCTGTCTTCATCTTGGTGAATCTGAAATGTAGGAATGAGCAATGGTTAGAGCTCCACCTGACCACGATGGCCAAGACATTGAAGCCTACTGAAGAGGGCATTCTGCCACTTTAGGAAGGGGACGCTGCATTTTTCTTATGTAACAAGAGATTGAACACCACCTTTTCCTTTCTACCTCCCACGTCCTTATCAACACACAGCTCACCCCAGCTCCTACGGCAATACAAATGGTGCCCTCACAACCAGCCTCATGGGCCGGAGCAGCTCATTCCCTTAGACTGCAAGCAAAGGCCCTGAAAGCCTGAGGCCGTCAACTCAGACTGTGGGTATTTGAAAAATTACTTCAGTGAAGCTAATCTAGGATTTCATCACATATGGCCTCGTTATTATAAATATTGGTGAGAGCTTTACCCAGTAAGCTGATTTGAAAGGCATCATATGTTCCAGAGGTAAGTTGATTAGCCATTTTGTATGGGCTCATAGCCAAAGGCTATGGCTAACGTGAGCTATCAAATCAGAATGGGCAAGATTGCCAGCCAAAAAAACTGGTGAGGAATGAGGTTTGTATCAGAAATCAAAATAACACAATGGATCTTTCTAAACAAAGGGGTAGTTTGCGGATAAAGTCATGAGTCAACTCTACTTCAAAGGGCTTTTGTCATTTCTATATTACTTTTATCACATGAACTGACCGCCCCTAAAGAAGATTCACCTTGCTCTAATGGTAATCATCTCCTTTTTACACATGGGAAATGATGCAAAGAAAAATGTGATCACCTACCCAGGGATACACGCAGAGTCTGCAGAAATGGAAACTCAACAGTGACTCCGTGACTGAATCTAACATTTCAGCTCCAGCATGTTCCTCTCATGGGCAAAATAAGAGCTCAAATAGGTATAATTTTAAAACTACGGTTCATCTGTCATTTACTATACTAACAGCCTTTGTAGAAACATTGCCAGAAATGGCAGACAATGATGTGTGTTATTAATGGAGGGTGAGTTCATTTGAGGGTAACACTGAAACCCATGAACTACAGCACTATTTGCAGTTTGATATGTGTTGGAATATTATGGAGTCTGATTTGACCTAAAAAGCTCTTTTTGTCAAATTAATTCAGAACAGCAAACCCACAACTGCACTCCTCAGCACTGTACCACCCACCCCCCCACCATCACCCCCGCAATGTCCTGAGCTTCAGCTCTTGATAGATTAGTTAAATGGTTGGAGGAACATTAGCACTGCCACACTGAACTCTGGTGAGACACATGGTGACATAGCCAAGTTTGCAAGAAAGACAGCCAGGGGATCCACAATCCAGAATATAAAGTCTATTTTTTTTTTTTAATCTCTCTTAGAGCTCTAAGCTGTGCTTGTATTAGAAGCCAGATGTTTGAAAGTGACTTCAGAAAGCAAGACCAAACGATCCTACGTTTGACCTTGAAAGCCAAGGGAAGCTTTTGGAGCAGGTGAACACTGCTGGAAGCACTTGATGTCCCCACGTAAGCTGGAGTCAGGCTCCTCCTGATCCAGAAATCACAGCAGCTGAGCAAGACAGTGGGTTCTTAGAAAGCCAGCCCAGATCAGATATACAAACAAAAGCAACAGAGGAAAAATACCACTGTCTTTCCTATTGTGAAGGGATGAACAAACAAAACATTCTGCAAATCCAACACAACCAGGCAGCTGCCAGGGCTTTAAAGCTTTGGGACTTCCTAAGCAGAATTACACCAAAACAGACAGACTCTGGTGCTGTGAACCCCAGAGCAGCAGCAGCTCAGAGTGGGCAAGTTTCGGGTTTTTGTTTGAATTCTTGCAGTTAGCATAGATGAGGCAATGCCCACAGGGAGCATGAGATGGGTCTGTGAATGGATTCAGACACTTTCCCCTCCAGCTCAGCAAAGGGCACAGGGGGCAGGAGTGGGTGGGCAATAATTAAAATTAAAAATTAAAACCACTGTTCTTTATCAGCCCACACAAACTTCAGTATTGTCAGCTTAGGCTTCAGGAAATCACTCAGTCACCTAAGACTGTGTTAGCAAAAGTCTCCTGGGAGATGTGGTCTTCTTCTCTGTGCCACAGACCTGGCTGGGCTCACCCAAGCTTCCCAAAGGTCAAGCTTATTCCAGTCCATCCTTCCAGGAGGACTGGACTTGGAGACAATTCATCACCACACCTCTAACCCCAACTGCTTTTCATGATGTTATAACTCAAGGGAATAACAACTGCAGTTCTGAACCACGATGGCCAACTTCAACACTTGGAAACAGAAAAAAATTGGCTTTTTTTAATTTTTTCTTACCAGGGGAGAAACAAAGAGCAATCCACCCACCTCTACCACCCATCCAGCATCCCCAGGGGACAACGTTGCCTCTACACACACCCCTGTCCCCAGTGCAGTGAGAACTTTAGGGGACATCAGCTAACCCCGAGCTTGCAAACCTTCAGCTCCCTCTTGCCCCGCTCCACCCCAGGGGACCTCGCTGGTCCCTCTCCTCCAAGACACCTCTCGGCAAGAATTCAGAGTCCCTGTGCAATCGCTCAGCCTGGCCATGCAAAATCCCCTCTCCCCCCATGCGCAGCTCCCTCTCTGCCGCCCCGTTCCTCACTCCCTCCGAGGTGACGGCAGAGCCAACTTCCCTCGCTCCTTCCAACACGGGGACATGCTGGGGGCAGCTGGTCCACCGCTCACCTCCTTCAACCCACCTTCAAGTGGATTTGAAGGCCGATTTTGTGCTCCTGAAAGGTGGGGAAATTAATTTACACCTAATTAATTACTTCTAGCTCCGCTTTCTCTGCACGCTGAGAGCCAACAGCCATTATCCCAACCAACCAATGTCCCCAAACATTTCCAGTCCCTTCAGTACAAACAAACAAAAAAAAAAAAAATCAATTAATCGCTTCTCTGCAGATTAACCCCTTTTTCTTTTCCCCCGGGAACTGAGAGTGTTCTCTTTCTTAATCTGCACCAAAAAAAAAAAAAAAGACAAATTAAACTCTCGGGCTTTAGGAGGCACCTAAGGTTCCCCCCCACGGCACAGCTCTGATGCAGATAAGCCTGTGGCCTCCACAGAAGACATTAGCTCCCCGCTGAGCCACTTTCTTGCACTTGGTCACAGAGGTAATTTCCTAATGGAGCATCTCCCACAGGGCGGCTCTGGCAGTTCTCAGCTCTCCATCCAGCTCCACCTTTGCCACAAAAGTAATCGCTTTGCTCTGCTCTCCTGTTCTCCTGGCTGCTGAAGCCCTGAGAGGAAAAACATCTGGATATCAGCTCAGCACTCAGCTTCCTCCTCCTTTTTGCTAAGTGGATCTCAAGCAGCGTTCCCTGGGACAAAGCTGTGCTTCAGCGAGGGGAACCCACCACCTGGGAGAGGAGGAGATGGGTCAGAAACAGCTCTTCCACACACTGGGCTTTGAGGTCCCATTTTTCCACAAGGACGAGTTCTGTCCCTGGTTCAGCCTCAGGGTGAGCTGCAAAACCTGTCGGTTTAGCATCACTCCCTCCTTTCCACCCAGGGCAGCCAGCGGCTCCAGAGGTCCCAGGGCTAAGGACCAGCTTGGCTGCAGCAAACCTACAACCCAAAACGGGGCTGCAGACACCAGGGATCAGAGCAAAGCCTTCCGCCCCCGGGGAACCACGAACATTACCACCAGGAGCTCTCTGCCTCTTGATTTTGGTATTCATAGCTCCAGCTAATCGGGATGCAGACAGCACCGTTCACCTTGAGCAGCTCCCTCCCTTCCCACCCCACACCCTGGCACCAGTGACAGCCTTTGCCGCCCTCCCCGGACACGCACAGGGCAATAAAACAGAGCAGAAAAGGCTCAGGGAGGATTTTTTGCCGAGCTGCCCCCCACCTTCTGATGGTGGAAATCAGCACCGGTTCACTGACGTCTCTGCTCCCAACCTGCTCTTAGCCCACAGGTTGTATGAAGCCGATATTTGATCTGGCACGTACCATCGTGATTCGTGCCCTCCCCAGTCACCCACCCACGCCGTGCTCTCCGTGTCCCTGCCGCTCTGATCGCCTTTTCAGAGCCCCCTCATCCTCAGATTACCCAATTCAAGGCAGTTTATTCTTAATGGTTCAACTGGCCACAAAAAAAAAAAAAAAAAAAAACAAACAGAAAAAAAAGAAACCAAAACAAAAAAAAAACACAACAAACCCACACACAGAATTTAAGAAGGACAAATTTAAATCACTTTGAACTACGAAGCCAGATGCTACAGCAAGAGCCGCCAGCAACGCCTGCACAGAAAAGATTATTAATTACCTGGCAGGATGGTGACCGACTAGCAGGGGTTAAGGAGTCCGCCACCAGCCAGGGGAAGCAGTAAGGCTTTGGGACAGATGATTTTCTTGCCCTTTGAGTCTCGCTGCCGTGTCTAGGTGACACTGGTGCCCTCTCTCCTCAAGGTGCTCTCTGGGGACCGGCACAGACGGGGAGATCGCACGACCCCAATCACTGGCATGCCAAGGGAAGAGGCTGGGTGGCTGCTGCTGCAAAAGCCTCTGCAACTCGCCCAGGGGCTCGCAGGGATGCTCACCCAACCCAAAACTGGTGCACGGCCACCAAGAACGGTGCTTCAGTCTAAGGAGGGCGTTCACCAGCATCCGTCCTGCAGCAAGATGCTCTCATCCCTGTCCACATGCTGGATCTGCTCATGTCCTAAATGCTGCTGGGAATTGCCTGGTCCCTGAAAAGCACCGGGAACCAATTCCCACATTAAACGTCACAGAATTACTGCTGCACATGGGTAATTCCAGTCCACTTATCCCACCGAAGCCAGGGGAAACCAACAGCCCTCCAGCACACATTGGAGTCGCAGAAGCTGCATTACAAGAGGGAACGGGCACAAACGTGAGCATAGGAAGCTCCATCTCCACCTGAGGAGGGCCTTCTCTGCTGTGAGGGTGGCAGAGCAGTGGCACAGGCTGCCCAGAGAGGTGGGGGAGTCTCCCCCTCTGGAGCCATCCCAAACCCGCCTGGACGCCGTCCTGTGCCACTGCTGGAGGTGCCCCTGCTCTGGCGGGGGGTGGGATGGGGGAGCTCCAGAGGGCCCTTCCAGCCCTCACCAGTCTGGGATGCTGTGATTCCGTTAGCAGGGGCCACACAAGGCTGCTACGTGGCTGAGCCCAGCACACCTGAGCTTGGGGGGGCCTGGAAATTGGGGAGCTGCAGACCTGCCCTTTGCAGCAGGTCCCCCTCCTGCTCACTTTGCCATCCTTCCCCAGCACCGATCACTCCACACAGCACAGAGCCCTTGGCATGGGTTTCCCTTCTCTACAAAGCACAACAATTGTCTTGTCTTTTTTTTTTTTTTCTCCAGGAAAAACTAAAAAAGGCTAATCTGGAGAGAGCTGAGGTCTCAGATGGCCTCACCAGTGTCTGCTGGGTCCCCACCGCATTAAACACTCACTGGATTTCAGTTCCGAGACACACAGCTGGTCAAGGCTCTTCCCTTAGAAAGCTTTCTATTAAGAAATCAGCATCTCTGCAATGTCATAATTAACTTTATTTTCCCTGTCTCATTACAGCCAGCTGCCCTCACCCCTCTTCTCAGGGACTGATGCAGTTTTTGAGCAGAATAATGGCTGACATAGCCATCCCCGGGCAGTCGCCCAGTGCAGGCACCTCCCCATCACCTCCCTCCTCCTAAAGCTTCACCTGGAAGCAGCAAGTGGAAGTGCAGGGCCCCGACAGCCCTAATCAGCTGCTTAAAATGCTCTGAAACAGTGGTCTTCAATAGGGAGAGCTGAGCATCTCCCTATTGCCGTGGCAAAGAGAAGCGCCCTGGAGACGAAGCATCATTCCCACGGGGGCCTGATCCGGGCGAGCAGAGCCAATACTGAGGATGGGAATCCTCCGGATGGTCACCGCTGAGCATCGCAGCAGCACGATGGAGCGAGGGACAACAGAGGACTTCACTGGCAAGAAGCCACATGTCCCTGGTACCCCCCCCCGGCACAGCAGTGGAGGCGTGGAGGTGTCTTTCAAACCCCATCAGCAACACTTGAGTCAACATCACCTCCAGCCCCACGGGTCATCCACCCTCAGGGCTTTTGCAGGACCAATACATCCTTCTCCCCCTTCGCTTTTCTTCCTAAAACCAAAGCTCTGGGGCAGCCAGCCTTGCAGCATTCAGTGGATTCAGCCTGGTTTCCCCTGCTCCCCCCCAAAAAAACCCTCTCTGCCTCCTGCTCTTCAACTCCTTGTTTCGCATTCATTAAAAAAGCAGTAGAGGAAACATATGTAGAAGAGAGCAAACACAGCAGAAGGAGAAGGAGGGAGGGGAGGCTTTGTCTCCACCGGCGAGGAACTCCACAATGAGCGAGCAGCACAAAGCCGCAGACACGGCAGGTTTCCACAATAGGCCCTTTACTGTCCAGGAAATCGTGTTCCTGATGAGAGCCCTTCTCCGTCTTATCCAATTAGCGCCGCTCAGCATTAGAAGGGGATTGACAATCACACGATGACTGTCTCTATAAATTAATCATTCCAAATGTTAAATGACTCCAAATATAATAGAGATGTAGGCTGGGTTCTACAACAGAGGGGGGAAAACCCCAGAGGAGGCTTTGAAATTTGTATTTCTGTGTGAAATACCAGGAGATTTTAAACTTTTCCCTCAGTGCTGCAAAAAACTCATTCAAGAGAAACAAAAAACAAGCCTTCCTGATGCCTCCAATTTCCTCGAGTGCTGATATTAGAGTCTTTGTATTTCCCAACTCCCTCTTAAACAGGAAACAATTACTGTCTACGTCACTGTAGCATTCTTTTTCTGGAAGATAATACACTGATTTTCTTATAGGTTGCGTGGCATGCTGAAGTCTGGTTACCCCTGGTGAAATATAAGCATGGAAAGAAAAAAAAACCCAAACACCAGCTTTTGTAGGGTGCACCATATCTACAGGTGGCAGGCGTGCAGCACAGAGGGTTTGCCAGTTTTTTTTTTTTCCATTAATGGGAGAGATCTATCATTAAGAGTTCCAAAGCCCCATGTTGACTCACCAACAACCAACATTCAACCTACTGAAAAACGATGCCATTTAAGGCACGAAGCCCAGAAGCACCAATGGTCCAGTTTGAGGAGAAAACCCGTACTTGAGAAGTCACCAACATGCCCCTTGCATGGCCACTAATTTGGTGGCTCTGCATGAATCGGCATACATGACCGGGGTCAAGAGTTTGACGTACCGAGTCCAGTTTATCACCAAACCTGCTCCTGACCTTCACAGACAGGGCAAGGAGAGAAAAATTCCGGGCAGAAAGAACCAGAAGTTGCAGTTACTCACCAAAGAAGGGTCATTCCCCGGGTGTAACTCAGCATTAGCCTCAGCCAACGCCGAGTTCCCAGGAGACACTGATGGAGAGAAACAGGAGCTGCTTCTACACGCGTTCTAGCTCAGTTATAGCTTCCCCAGCACGCATTATTCAAGTGGCCCCTCCAGGCTCACATAGAAGTCTTTGGGGAAAAACAGAGGTGAATCCGCAAAAAGGAGTACCCAACTAATTAAAACTTCTATTAGCTCTTTTGTGTATATAGGGATTTCCTGGATAAAGGGGAAACAGAAGTGGACAAGGCCTGGGGGAGATGGGGGTGACACCTCTTTGGTTTTCAATTGTTCAGAACCAGTAAAACCAGAGGACCCACAAAAGAGCTAAGTTCCAGGGGAAATTCCAGTGCTAAATCCCACCTTCTTTTCTTGGATCCCATTTATCCAAGTGGAAGGTACAAAAGCCAAAAAGGAGCAGAACAGAAGCCACCAGTTTGAAAGCGTGGCCCCATGCAGCCATGGCGCACGGCCGCCCCAACCAGGATGCCGGTTTGGGACATTCATTCTTGGTGATACCCCGGTCAGGGGCTGCCAGGGTCCTGCCAGGCACATCCCCCAGGACCTTTGCAGACGGGGAGAAGATTTCTGCCAAGGTTTCTCCTTCTGACACACGTCTGAGGTTCACGTGTGGGACACGGACTCCCCCCCCCTGCACGCACGCTGGCTGGCGTTCCCAGGGAGCTGCATCGCTGTGGGACAAGGACTCCCAGAGCCTCACTGCTCCTCACGCTCACCCACGTCCACAAACACCGTGCCAACTCGAGCGGTTGCGACTACACCGAACAGAAACACGAGCTCTCCAAACGTGGCACTGCTGCACTGCAAACCTCCTCTCTCCGTCTCCAGACTCCCTGGGGCTAACGTGATCCCTTCTCCCTGCCATAAACTCCTCGCAGGAAGAGCACGGGGGGGCAGCCTGATGAACAGTCACGTCGCTTCGCCCTCGTAGCAGAGATTTAGCCACCGTTTACCAGCCTGTGATACCAAAGACTTCATTTTGCAGCATCTCCCCTAACCGAATTGTGTGCATTCAAGGGAAAGATGCTTTGGAAGCTTCAGGACTCCTGGCAGGAGCAAGACTTAATCTCATCAATGTCTGAATACCTGCTAAATATTTTTGTCCTCTGTTGGAGGAGAAAATAAATTGATGCTATCTTTTCTGTGCTGGCAGCATCCACCTGCACCAGGATTCTGCTCTGAGATGCGTAGAAAATGGAAGCTCACTCGTAACATACAGGGTAAAGAGATGAGAAGGGGGTCACTGCCATTTGAATCGCAGCCCTAATGGTGGCACGAACTTATTTCGCACTTACAGGGGGGAACAGGGTTTCCGATTCCAGGAAACGGAGTGGTTTGAACCACAGCAGAACCAGACAGGGACACTTTACAATGCCGAAAAGGTGCAGGGAGGTTGGAGAGTGCTGCTGGGGCAGCAAAGGCTCTGTGCCCTGTCCCCCTGCAAAGATCCCCCCCCCCACCGCTCTCCCAACTTCAGCGTGAGGAGCCAGAGAAGTTGCCCTCATGTCTGCAGCATCCCGTCACATCTTATTGATGTCTACAGTTTCCAAAGAGTTGGAAAAGCTACATTCGTGATTTCCACCCCCCCGCTCCCCCTGTAAAAGTAAGGCTGAGCCTCCCAGCAGGCTCTTCCCCTTGCAACCAGATCCAGCTCTGTGAAGAGCCAGCTCCCAGACGGAGCAGCAGCCGCAGCTGGGATGCCGGACACGGCACATGGCGGGGGAGATATCCCATGAAAGATGCAGCACACCCGGGCAGCGGGATGCTCCCAGGGCATTGCCCTCCCCAGGGACATCCAGCTCCCCGCCTGGCTGTTTGCAAAAAAAAAAAAAAAAAAAAAAGTCCCATTTTTTGAGCAGATCTGATTGCTCTGTTCCATTCTCTGGGTTAAACTTTAGGAGGCACCAGAGGGCAGCTGAAAGCTGGTGGGAACCTTCATCACAGCCTAGGAAGGGAGAAAAACAAATAAAACCAAAACAATAAAGCGGATGCCGCATCTTTACCTCTAAAACACATCGCAATTACCAGGGAAGCGCCTGCCTGCTTCACCTGCTGCAGGGATTTGGGTTTTTTTTTTTTTGGAGGGGGGGAAGGTCTGCCCCACTCACAGCCCTCCCCAGAGCCTCCCCAGTGCGCTGCCTGCGTGTCCTACCTGACAATCACATACATGACGGAGCAGTTGCCCACCAGCCCCACAATGCACACAATGGAGTAGACAACCACAATGGTGATCTTGATGCTCAGCGGCAGGAAGCTGTCCCCCGTGCCGTTGTTGAACCAGTTACTGGGGAGAAAGCTCAGGTTCAGCATGGAGGAGTCGTTCAGCAGCTTTCTCAGGTCAGGGTCTTCCAAAATATGGGCAGGGAAGCGGGTCCATCCTGAAGCACCAGCCTGTGCCAAGGACCTGGGGCATCAGAGGAGACAGTTTTATGATCCGCTGATCAAACGGGTAGTGCGGGACCGTAGCAAAGCATGTGCGTGAGAGAAACGCTGGGGGAAAAGGATGATTTATTGCTGGGAAAAGAACAGCCCCCCCCCCAACCTCCCGAAGAGCTTGTTTTAATGGGATGCAGCCCTGAGAGCTTGGTGCATCCTGAGCGCACGCATTTCTCCACACCGCCGGCGCAGGGGACGCGCAGGCTGCACAACGCCATCCCTCCCGAGCGCTGCATGCTCCTACCTGCCGGCTCGGTAAGTCCCAAACATACGGGTTTGTACCCCCAAAACCTCC